TCTACTCCAGCTACGTAGGGGTTGTTCATCGCCATATATAATAGCTCAGACCAATACTTGCGGCTGCTAGGCCGGCTTTTAGTAGGTCGTGGTCCTGCTCAGGTATTGTAGGCATAACGTGTACCTTCTTTGATGGTTTCTCTACGGGTGGCTTCGCTTCGTGTACCTTCTTTGGCTTCTCTACGAAGTGAGGAATGCCCTTGGTCATGTCAGAGTTCACGTCATTCACCCCAAACTTCATGTTTTCGGTTGCTCGCTGAAGTTTGTTGTTATAACCCACGACGGAATTAGTGTTAATAACCAARTTACTTGGCATTAACCAACAACCAGGTGACAAAGCGTAATCCAGTCTAACCTTTGATTGCTGCACCGCTAATTGATATCTCTGCACCGATTTGGATATATCATTCTCTATTACTGCGGACTCAAACAGCGTAAGAAATTCCTGTTGTGTCTCCTGTGAAGCACCTTGAAAACCTATGATGGGACTACGGGTATTAACTTGCGCTCCTAAAATACAGTAAACGAATGCTTCAATGCTGCGGTTAATCCTAGCAAGGTTCTTCAAACGAATACCCTTTGCGGCAAAGAACGGCGCCAATGAGTATTTCTACAGGCTTTCTATGAAATATATCAGATTTCCTTTTCCTGCACTACCACCCATGTCTGAAAACTTCCAGGCGCTAGGGTATCCCATGCCCAGCGTCTCAATGTCGGGACCATCATAATAGGTGTACGTTTCCCCAAGACCATTCGCAGCGCCTTCTTTGTTACGAAAGTCGGGGTTCAACAGGTGAAACTCGTTCTTTAGACGTTCCCACGCTACTTTGTTGTACTTGTTATCCTTCGCATCGAAAATAGCGTCTCCCGGTAAAGGCGCACCTAACTCCTTTAGTATTCTGCGCATGGTAAATGCAACATGAAAACGCAAGAAGGGAATATGAAACATATCCACTGCTATACCACATCCTTTAGTAGCAGCACAGACGGCAAAATTTAATTGCTGCGGCCAATACCGCATGCTGGGTCCTAATAACCATCTCCTGGACTCTTTCCCTGTTTTATGCTTTAACCTGGTTTCTCTAAAGATATCTCTGACTTTTGTCTTAAATGTCGCAGGACCCACAGGAATCTCTAATGAAGTTACCATCCTAGCAAAGTCATCCGCTCCGCCTTTGTTGTTATAAAATGGGTATTCCTGGTTGGTTAGTAAAAGATCCTTTGGAAAGTTGGGCTGCACGTGCTCGGAACGTCTTTCCTTATGCTTTGGCACCTCTTTTGGTCTCAAATCCGCGTTGCTGTACATTCTGGATCCATTAAAGTAAATCCCGTCAGGTCTTCGCTCAAACTTGCTAGCATCTGCGTGTGGAAACATCTTTCTAAAGGCCCTCCAATTCCAGTAGTCCCGATTATCGTGATGTGGCTGCTGCTCGATGTCATTCCCAAAAGCTTCGTACATTAGTATATATATAATGGATGTTATACCATCGGCACTTAAGATGTACCCAGATATTCCCTATACTACACCTAACGAAATGAATGCCGAAAACGTTAGGCTCAATAAGGCAAATCTAATACTGGCTTACTTGGAAGGGCAGACAAAACACTACGAAAAAGTTAGGAAGAAATACGTTAGAGCCCGGAGTACGCTACATAAGATTGCGATAACTTCAGGATCCATGTCCGTAGTGTTAACGGGCTCCGGCGTTGCAACTTCGCTTACTGGACCCGGAGTACTCATAGGGGTTCCTTTGGCTAGTGTTGGGGCAGCCTGCGGCATTATTTTTGCTGTTGCTACGGGCATTATGAAAAAGCTATCCACGAAAATATCAAAACACGACACGACAATAGCTATGTCTAGGGCTAAAGTAAATACTATTACCAACCTTGTCTCAAAGGCTTTGCGTGACAGAAAGATAGACGATGTAGAATTCTCGCTTATCCTGGCCGAAGAAGACAAATACGAGAAAATAAAGTCAGACATAAGAAAAAAAAAAAAACCAGTCGTAAAAGATCTTTCCGAGGAATCTCGCAAAAAGATCTACCAGGAGGCAAAAGAGGAGCTTCAAAGAAAGCTCGCTCAGTAAACATTTGCTTTGAAAAAAGCGAGACAGGATTTCATTTGCATATCGAACGACAGTCTAGAAAATATGCGTAATTAAGTAGTTTCACAAAATATTACACAGCCTGTGGCGCTTTCACAAAATATTACACAGCCTATGGCGCTTTCACAAAATTTTACACAGCCTGCATCGTTTTCACAAATGTGAAAAAACTTGTGTAAAATGCATATCATTAAATCATCGCCTCGGAATCCATCCTAACAGGGGGTGGTTGGGGTCGATTTTGTAAAATATTAATTACGTCAGGGTAATAAGGAATATCCCTATCCAGTCGACAAAACATCCACTCAGCTCTTCTCATAGTATCTTCAGAAACCTCGGGAATAGAGTCACCGGTAATTTCAGACAAAAGGTAGGGAATACCTTTGTAATATTTCCCTAGCTTTAATTTTTTCAACGTCTTCCTTAAGCTTTGCGGGGTTGGTTCTGCTAACTTAAGCGCTTCCATTACTTCGATGTCTAAATATACCGGCCGAAGACCTTGGACGTGACTCATCCAGTCTCTAAAGTATTTTATTCTCTTGTATGGGGTCTTCTTACGACCTCCGTTAGAGTAATATTGTTCCCTGGTAGCACAAGGTACGGCATTGCGAATGTTCTTACCACACTCATAACACTGCGCTGAAGTATCTTCTTCTATTCGCATCTTTTTACCACAACAAATATACTTATTTGGTTTACTAGGCTTAAACTTGGGTTTCAAGCACTTTACACAAAAGTCGTAAATTGGACAGAATTCTTTACATTCGTGCATCGTATATAGAACAAATATCTTATCGTCCGTTAGGTCACGCAATTGGGACACGAGTAATACCCGCCAGCCGACCGATTGGATTGGTGCGGGCAATACCCGGCTCCCCCGGTACCCCTTTCGCTGGTCCCCCTACCTGCTGCTAATGGCAGTGAAACACCTGTGAAATTTGGGAACATGTGAAACGGAACATGTGAAATTTCATGAGTGAAAACTTGAAACGTGAAATTTTGAAACGTGAAATCTGACATGTGAAATTTGGGAACATGTGAAACGGAACATGTGAAATTTCATGAGTGAAAACTTGAAGCATGTGAAATTTTGAAACGTGAAATCTTACATGTGAAATTTGGGAACATGTGAAACGGAACATGTGAAATTTCATGAGTGGAAACTTGAAACATGTGAAATTTTGAAACATGTGAAATCTGACATGTGAAATTTGGGAACATGTGAAACGGAACATGTGAAATTTCATGAATGAAAACTTGAAACGTGAAATTTTGAAACATGTGAAATCTGACGTGAAATTTTGAAACATTTTTTCACATGCATGTGAAATACAAAGAAAATTTCAAAGCCATGTAATGAAAACCGTATGAAACTTTTAATATATATTGACATTTTATAACTAGCTGTTCCATACAATTATTACAAAATTCTTACCTTAAAGTGGTAAACAGAATATTATTCTTCCTTTTCGTCATAATCAAAAGTGGGTTATTGTATAAAAATATCTAGTACCACCATATTCTTAAAACAATAATGTATATTATCTAACCTTGAGAAATGCATCGATTCCTCAAGGTTAGATAATATACATCTGCTGATTTGATAAGACACTTTACAAAGCTACACATCTAACCTTGAGGAATTGATGAATACATTTATACTACATCTCCATCATGTCTTTAATACTTCTCTAAACATGCTAAGTTATACCTTTCAATAAATCATATCGATGAAAGAACGAGATTTACATTGATAGACGCCATGTTGACATGACTAACCGAGCCGGACTGGTGTAGAGTTTTGACCATATTTGGATACGGATTGCCATATTTGAATATCCTTGCTTGCTCTGATTGGCTGATTCAACAGTTCGAATTTAGGCGGACTTTTCATTCAGTTATTGCAGTCGTTCTTTGTGGGTAAAGCATGTATGGTTCATGGATAATTGTGCTTTTAAATAGCCTAAAATCCCCTGAGAAAAACGGGGAACAACGAACTAATATGTGATACTTCATAACCTGAGGGTAATCTGGTATAGATCAACGAATTTCCAAGAGATTTCGCTGAGGTAAGCGATCAAAATGTCCTATGTTACAAACCGATTTTTACATCAATGAAGTGTGGGTATTAAGAATGACAATCTAGGCGGCTATATTTAGGTCAAAATCCTAGCATTTTCTTAAATCTACTATTCATGGAAAGTTGTATTGAGATATGGAACCTGTTTCTTTTATATAATGTAACTAATTTACCCTTCGAATTTGTAGGTCTAACCTCCTGAAAACCTAACCTAACTGATGATGAAGTGCTGTATTTATAAATCATTAACACGAGATGTCAATATTGCCTTGTAGTTTATAGAAAATGTGGTGTAATTAAAGCTTATTTTTAAATTTCTTATTATAGTTAAAAACTACCTGTATTAGATCAACTAATTCAGATATCTAAATTTAAGTAATTTATATGGATTCAGTTTTCACAGGATTTTCACATGTTTTTACCATGTGAAATGGATTTATATTAAAAAAGTGGATTTGGTTTTCACAGATGTTTCACAGGTTATTTCACATGATAAGGATGTGAAAAGGAGGAACCCATTTCACAGGGTTTTCACATGTTTTTTTCACATCAACATGTGAAAAAAAATATGTGAAAATCCTGTGAAAGTTTTCACAGGTTTTTCACCCCCATTTCACATGTTCTGCTTCAACAGTGAGAACAAGACCAGGGGGCCGGTGCAACTGAGTCTACAGATGGACCAAGTATGTGTTCTCACTTGTAATATTCATTCCTTAAACATATGTTTGTTTGTTTGTTTGCTTTTTTATTAAGTTCTGGGATAACCTATTAATTGAACATTGCTTTCTACTCTCTTTCCAGGCAACAGGTCCTGCCGCTAGCAACACAGAAGCCCAGGCTGTGAGTACAAAATACCTGCTATAGTGAGTTGGTGTGCAGTCCTTACAATATGAGCATGTATTAATTGAAAATTGCTTTCTACTCTCTTTACAGGCAGCAGGTCCTGTCGCTAGCAACACAGAAGCTCAGGCTGTGAGTACAAAATACCAGCTATAGTGAGTCGATGTGCAGTCCTTACATTATGAAGCATGTATTAATTAATTGAACATTGATTTCTACTCTCTTTACAGGCAGCAGGTCCTGTCGCTAGCAACACAGAAGCTCAGGCTGTGAGTACAAAATACCTGCTATTGTGAGTCACTGTGCGGCCAATACATTATTCTTGGTTTGCAATCATTCTCAAGAGGACAAAATAACAATAGGCACTTCCGCCATGATGGATGATATAACAAAGAACTAATTGAAAATTCTTTTGTCAAGTCCATCTAACATGGCGGCTATTGCAAACGATCAATATAATATATAGTTGCCTACTTTATGATTTCAGTAGGCAACTAAATTTTTATTTAAATATGCAAATATACCACATGCATTTGATCATTTTACATATAGCTGTGATTCATCTCTTACAGTTACGACAAGCAAGGAGAAATAGGGTGGGCCAAGAAGCAACGGATGGGGTCTTCGTGAAGGCAAAGTGTGGAGGCAAAACATTCACAAGAAGTTTTAATACAGGCTCATGTTATCAAGTATGCTTTAAAGTTAAAATATACTGCCTTTAGTGATATATATAATATAGACAACCATTAACTGCCAACAATTTGGTAGAAGTTTCGGTCTTCAGCTATTTACGACTATTTACAATACTTCGTAACTGGATGTAATCATAAAATTTATAAATATATATTGATATCAATTCTATAGTTGATATGTTGGATAACAAGTTTATTTCGATATACATAGTCTCATTATTATTATTATTTTTTAATTCTTTTTTGTTTTTGTAGGAAGTATATTGGTTGCAGAGAGGACCTGCCTCATCAAGAGAGATGAGAAAATCTCCCAGAGTGAAACAGTTGTTGTTTCTGAGGTGGTAAGTGATGCAGAAAATCACACCTATTTGAAAATAATTGAATGATTAAAATATGTCTCTTATTTGTTTTCAGACTCAAGAACAAGAATTCGGAAAAATACATACAACTGTAAGTACTTTCGTGCTTACTGAACAATGGCATTGATAATATTACTGTCTTATTTTCTTGATAAAAGAGGTTTACAAAAACGAAGGACCTGTGGAGTTATCGGCTGGACCTGACCTTTTGTATGTAACAAGCAATGTACTGTACCGATCCCCTTAGCATTGGGTTGTCGTATGCAAAACCGAAGGACCGGTGGAGGTATCGGCTGGACCTGACCTTTTGTATGTAACAAACGATGTATTGTACCAATCCCCTTAGCATTGGGTTGTCGTATGCAAAAACGAAGGACCGGTGGAGTTTAATAGGCTGGACCTGACCTTTTGTATGTAACAAACATTGTACTGTACCAATCCCCTTAGCATTGGGTTGTCGTATGCAAAAACGAAGGACCGGTGGAGGTATCAGCTGGACCTGACCTTTTGTATGTAACAAACAATGTACTGTACCGATCCCCTTAGCATTGGGTTGTCGTATGCAAAAACGAAGGACCGGTGGAGTTATCGGCTGGACCTGACCTTTTGTATGTATGTTTGTATGTTTTGTACCTTATGTAACAAGCAATGTACTATACCTCCCCTATATATTACTTTTACTATTATTATTAGTTATTATTATTATAACTGTTACTATTATTATTACTGTTATTATTTTTACTGTTAT